GGTCCGGTGGTGGCCGGTGGTGGCCCAGTGGTGGTCCGGTGGTGGCCGGTGGTGGTCCGGTGGTGGCTGGTTGTGGCCGGCCCGATGGTGGTCCGGTGGTGGCCGATGGTGGTCCGGTGGTGGCCGATGGTGGCCGGTGGTGGTCTGGTGGTGGTCGGTGGTGGCCGGTGGTGGTCGCTGGTGGTCCGGTGGTGGCCGGTTGTGTCCCGGTGGTGTCCCGGTAGTTGGATATTGAAGATAAATGATAATAAATTTATAGAAACTATGTTTCGTGGATTTCATAATTATGTTTTCGTTTTCTAAAAACACTTACAAAGATTATGATTTTGGAAACAAAAACAACTTTTTACCAAACGTGTTTCTATTTTTTTTTCTAAGAAAAAAAACAGAAACCGAAAACAGAAACGTTACCTAATGCACCCTTAGTATCTGAAACTGGACATGTAACTCAGCAGTTCGTATACCGTGGGAGCAGTCCACGGTGAGTATGCTGCTCCCACATACAAAACACGTGTTACTGTTCACACGGGTGAAAAGTTACATTTTTTTTCATTGTCTAGCAGCATTTTGATGTAACTAACGTGTAAAAAAATGTAAGTCACGCTAATAAAAAATGTAACTGCAAGCAAATCGAAATGTAATTTGTCTAATACGGATTATAAAAATAAAACATTGATTTCAATGAAAACAAGGAATCTAATCGCTCAATTACTTTACGTAAATAGTGAATATGTTTTTATTTTAATATTAAGCTCATAAATAATGTTTTTTTCCTTAAAATCATTTTTTGCTAAAAAATCATTTTTTCTAAAAAAAATCAGTTTTTTATTTCAATTTTTTTATTTGTTTCATTGGCAGGGGTTTACTTAAAAGTGAACACGTTATGTTTTTTATATCAAAGTCCAAAAATTGTGTTTTTAAAAATCACTTTTTTGTCAAAGAAACAATTTTTGGCCAAAATAATATTTTTTTTTTTTTTGCAAAAAAGAAAATGATTCTTTTGTTCAATAGCAAGGTTGTATGTTGTGATGTAACTCATGTTATAGAAAACGTAACTCTCGATGATGGAAAGTCTAACTTAAATGTATGCAAAATGTAACTTGTTAAGGCAAGTCTAAATGTAACTCGCGTATAAGAACATATAACTCACGCATAAACAAAATGTAATTCGCACATTAGAAGATGCAACTCCATACACTATCAAATGTAAGCAATGAAAACAAAAAGTTTAATTGCTCAAATTAATTTACGTAAGTAGCTAATATGTTTTGTTTTTCGGATTAATAAGGTCATAAAAATGTTTCAAAGAAAAATAAATGTTTTTACAAAAAAACATTTTTAGTCAAAAAATTAATTTTTTTGCCAAAAAATTAATTTTTTTGTTTGAATAGCTGGAGTTTATTTTGTGATGTAACTCGTGTTATGGTAAAATGTAATTTGCTTTGATGAAAAATCTAACTTAGGTGTATGCAAAATGTAACTTGCTAAGGTCAGTCCAAATGTAACTCGCGTACAAGAAGATGTAACTCATTCACAAGAAGATGTAACTTGCCCATAAAAAGATGTAACTCCATATACTATCAAATAATGTAACTCCAGAAATTGTTTATATAAAAAAACTTACATCCATGAAAAATGTAATCTCATGTTTTATCAAATTTAAATCGAAATAAACAAACTTAATGTCTTAGAAACACTAAAAATATATAAAAGAGATAAGAAATATATTATAAAAAAGTTTATAAATATGAAAATTGTATTATAAAAAGTTTATAAATATAAAAAAACATTTATTTTGAAGAAAAAATAATTAATTTTTGGTTGTAATTTTAGTTGAATAATAAAAAAAGATAAAAGTGTATCAACAAGGCTAATAGAGAATGAAAAAGTAATTATTTTATATAGAAAGGATGAAAAGTTGAAAACTCGATCACAAAATTTTAATTACATCCCAATGTTCTTAAATTAAAATAAAAACATTTGCAAACATTAACAGTATATATAAAAAAAAAGAACAGAGACTGAGAGAGAGACGTGGATGCCTGGGCCGAGAAGGATGTTCTAGTGTGCAAGTGAGTGGAGATATCACGTGACCAAGTGACCAACTAACAATTGCGTAAATAGCATGCAGCGTATGTTTTGTTTGTTATGAAAAAATGGTACCGTATTGGAATGGGTATATCATGCTCATGGTATACCGATCCCACGGTATAATTTGCAGTAACTCGGTCTATTTTACCCCAAAAATAGAAAGCCTCTTTTTCTAGTTCGACTCTCATAATTGATTCGGTCATTTATTCAAGTCCACAAGCTAATAAATACATCAACTTTCATTTATGTTTCAATACCATATCATGTGTTTTCAGTCGCAGATCAGACCAGGCTTATACAGACCCGCTCAAACCAGACCAGACTAGTTCAGACTAGACCTGATTTCAGTAGTTATTAAATATATAGAAACCAGAGATTTATCAAACCAGACCAGATCAGTTTAGACCAGCGAATTCCAGTCCAAGTAAAAACATCCTAAATTAAATACTTCATATATAAAAGTGTTTTTAATACAAATTGAATATGATAAGTTTGTATGTATTGCGTTCAACGGTGGAATGAGGGAGGGGCGAGCCGGTGCCGACGCTCCTCCTTCGCTGGTAGATTCAAGGTATATATATGTGGTTATCCGTCGGCGCCCCTGTCCCTGAAACTTTCATCTTCTTCAGTAGCTCACCGTCGCACAGTGTGATTCCTTGCCAAGACTGTTTTTTGTTTTAAATTTTTTTAGTTAATCACTGTCGTTTGTTTAAGTGAAACGGGAAACTAGTGAAGCTACTGAAAAATAAAACGACATCTAATTATATAGTACTCGTATAACTAATACGGAGTATCAAGACTCAAGTCTGCTTCCGCCTTCCGGTGCAATTTTATTAGTGGAAGCCTCAAGCCGTGAGGGTAAATTTTACTTTTACAGGTTGTGTAGTTTTAATGTTTTATTGTTGATTTACTTTATGTAATTCAATAATTTTAGAATTGTATAATAGTTGACTAAATTTCTAAAGTACTATTGTACTCCGTATACAGTTGTAAATTAATCATGTTTACGACAAATTTGTATATATGATATAAAGACATTTATATAGATCATACTTAAATTAGGTAACTGCAATATATTTTGAGAAATGTTTCTGATGAAAATAATGAGGTTACTGATAATAACCGTGATGTTATAAGTTTTCTATTTTAATATTTGATGATCAATTTATCATTTAAGAATGCTAATTATTTCTAAAATAAAAATGAAAATTTTTAGTTGGAATGTCTAATAATTTATATACTAGTGATCAAATATAAACTCAGTCTATGAAGTCATTTAAATTAGAGGTCATTTGGTAATATCAAAATCGCCTGAAAAGCAACTTCAGCCAATAAAGCCAGAAAAGCAAGTCCAATCTTACCACTCCGTATTTTTTATTATTACACAATTCAGCACATCAAATCAAAAGCTATGTATTTGGTGAAAAAAGTTGACTGATAAGGTTGATAATCCGAAAAGTAGGGCTGCCAAACTGGCTTCTAATGAATCAAGTTTTATGTAACTAAGTAATTACTACTCCCTCCGTCCCGCAATGAAGTTCACATTTTGACACTGTTTGGCACTGTTTGACACTGTTTTAATGTAGATAATTTGCCAAATATAGAAAGTATTGAAGTGTGAATTAATTTCGGGACTGCCCAAAAAGAAAAGTGGGAAGTTGTTTACGGGACGGAGGGAATATATGAAGTTATTGTTGTATACGGAGTAATTCTTTAGGTAAACACCGGCACCTGCTCAAAAACTGTTCTGGTTCCGCCACCGATTGCGTTTAGTCTACAATCAAACGTACATCCGAAAAATTGATCTTAACCAGGCAACACCCATTTTTAAATTTGCAATTAGGTGTCATAATTACCAGGAGATAACTTACACACATGGAACAATTGTGGGAAAGAAGTAACCTTTATGGCTTAGTTCATGAAGCAGATAAAGAGCTGTTTGTTAGGAGGATGAGCTCAAAGTGATTATCAGTATCTTGATTATGGCGAGTTTAGTATTTTAATACATTTTTCTTTTCTGTTATACAATTTTTTGGGTGTATTTTTATTTATAACACCAGTTATTAATCAAAAAACCATCATACTGTTAGTAACTTAGTTATTACTTGGCTTAATAAATTTTGCATTTTTAAATCACTGTAATTGTTTAAGTAGTTGTACTAATTACATTAACAAAAATATAATTTATTCCTTTAAAAGTCATTTAACAAATTACCAACTTATTATTAATAGTCATTTAATCAAACACCATAGTATCAACGAATCAAAACAACCGAAAGAATTCGCTATTATCAACTAACACAATCAACCAATAGTTAATTGTCAAACACCCCATGTTGATATTGCGTCTATGCATAAAAACTACGGAGTATAAAAATATTTTTATCTAAAATATATTTCAATAAAAACTACTTGATAAACTTAGCAATAATTGTGTTACCATTTTTAATAGGAGAAATAAAGTGAATTAGATTTGGCTCTAATTCTTTGCTACATTAATTTGGAAGGTTTAGTGCAACATTCACAATTCCAAAGTGTAAATTGATAGTGATAATATTATAATAATGCACCTACACAATTGATAAATTTAATCAAATATCTTGATTTTTTTTTGAAAACCAAATATCTTGATTATTATATTTATTGTTTCAAATAACAAGCCAAATAAATCAATCAATTATTAAAGGAAAACAAAGGTCCTTATTAAGAGATTGTACTGTGTTTAATGGTCCAATGCTCCAATTCTAGTTATATGGAAAAGCTGTTCATTATTTTATTCATAATAAACGGTGATGAGTTTTACACTTCTATACTTCGAGCTAAAACCATTCTTTTTATGATTATAATAGCCATTCAAAGTTCAACTTAATAGCCACACAATCACAATTAATATATATCTAATCTTAGCCTTTGAATTCGTGTATTTCATGGTCAGATTTTATTCTCATTTTTCTCCCGGAACACCATTCTTACCTGAATCTTACCCTCTACATATATCGGTATATCACACATATGCGATACTATTCTTCATAAAGAGACAAAATCACGTGAAAGCCAAAAAAACTTGCTAAAGCTTGTTTCAGAGAGTTGTCCTGTCTGCCTCTGCTGGTTTGCTTTTAGATATATAGTACTCCAATTTCAACCCTTTTTTTGTATATCAGATTGAAACAAGTACATTTTACTTGAAAGATGGAGCATATGGCCTTCTGAAAGTGTACGTCTCTAAAACCTAAACCTTTGGGGTAGGCAATAAATTATCATCTCATTAACTAAACACCATAGAGTGGCAAACATATTTGAATAAAAGAATAAGCTAGGCCGCCTGTGAATATATAGCTGTCTACTCTGTCCAGTATTCCACCTGTGCATTCCAACAATTTCTCCAAGCTCAAATAACATATAAACCGGACAAGACTCAATAACTAATGCATGAGTGTACATGGGTAGAACAGTCTTTTACCATGTCCAGGGATGAGGAATCCCGAGTCTTTCGCACCGGCATCACGCTTGATCATCGACTCCGTAAGGTCACCAAAAACTGATCCAAAAAAGTTTACAACCCCAAAAGCCAATGCACTGGAAAAAAAACACTAATTCAAAACTAATGACTTTTTGAAAAGAAAAAATGAAAAAGATGACAAAACTGTTGGACACCACCTCAGCATAGATGTGGGCCAGCATAGTAACTTTGACAATAGTGCAGTAGTGGTTATACAACCAGCAAGACCTGCTAGAGCCCCTTCCCAAGTCTTCTTTGGGCTAATAACCGTAAGGGGAGTCCTACCAAAAGCCTGCATAGGGAGCGTCTAATATGATGCAAAATAAACAATTAATGCGCACAGAGTAGGGGCTCTTTGCGTTGACTTCTTAAGACAAAATGGAGCGTACCTTTTAAATACATTTGAAATGTACCATGTAAAATGTGTTATGGGTGAGGCGGGGTCATGGAAATATTTTGAACTATGGAAAATAAAGGAAAGAACTACTTTGCATGCAATTTAAAATGAAAAAGGGATTCCACACTGAATAAAAAAAATGCATAATTAATTTACATGTACAGTAATTGCATCCTGCACACTTCCCTTGCAAAACTTTTGTGTGCAAGATACCAAAGATCCCCTTATGATCATATCATTATTCCATTTTACATCCAAAAACGAACCATATATCCCCATAAAACAGATGCCAGAAAACCTTGTTAGCGCTCTTTAAACTCAAGACATTTAGTTGCATAATGTAAAAGGAAAAGGGGCAAATAAGCCCATGTACTAACCAAAAAAGGTCAAATAAGCCCTTAGATTGGAGGCTCTGTTTGGCCGTCGTCATTTGGGGAGGTTCCCGGTAGAATTTTTTTATGAAATTTTTTGAGCATCTTATTCATTAAGTCTAGTTTACTCATACCTAATTTTAGCTAACAATTCAATCGGTAAGACATTCAAATGAATTCTTGAAGATTACTGCACTTTTGCGCTTTTAACTGTGCAGTTATCTTCAAGAATTCATTTGAATGCCTTCCGGATTGAAGTTTTAGCTGAAATTTGGTATGAGTAAACTAGATTTCATGAATAAGATGCTAAAAAAACTCATCAAAAAATTCCACAGGGAACCGCCCCAAATGGCGACGGCCGGATAGAACCTCCTATATAAGGGCTTATTTGACCTTTTTTAGTTAGTACACGAGCTTATTTGCCCCTTTTCTCTAATGTAAATTATGTGAAATCATAGGAGTGCCAAATCGTGATAAAAAAAATTTAACAATAACAAGATGATAATAGGTTTGGATCTATGATTGTCAAAGATTGGTGATTGTAGTGAAACAATATTAGAGTTAAGATCATCCACTTAAAAAATTATTCTCCCATCTGAAGATATTTAAATGAAGAGTCAAAAACATCAAATTACCTTCCCGCCAAAAAAGGCAAATGTATCCGCTGCAATGATACTACTAAAAGAAATCAAGGAAGCCACAAGACCCACTGTCCACTGAGTCTGCCCTCCCAATAAGGCTGGCCAGGATTCTGCTATTTCTGCATCAATTCAAATTTACAATACTCATCCTACAAGTATCGCACCAAAATTCAGCAAAAGAATGGCATTAATAATATCTTATAGCTGATAATCCCTACAATTTTATGTTATTTACTAGGTGGAGGGTTCAATCTACAGTATGCTTAACTTCCATCGAAGTCTAGCGAAATAATTTCTACCTTAAAATCATTATTGCAATGAGAAAACTATTATAATTGGAGACAATCTGAAAGTAAAGAAAGGATTGCAAAAAAGGTGAGATGAGAAAATTGGCATCAGAAATCAAGAAAGAAAGTACAAACAATAAAACTTCAGGCTCATATGAAAAGAGTTATTTGGCTGAAATGACTCTTTCACCAAAACTGATCGCGGACAATAAACACTTGAGAATGCGTTTTCCAAATAACCCAAACTAATTCTCATCAAGCATATCTAACTCAGTGAGTCAAATGCTAGTTTTAAATGCATACAATTTGTTAAAGAATATACAGGAGTACGCTAAAGAATATAATACGGGAATACACTATAGAATGATTGTGATGCATATGACAAGAATCCTTAACAATATGTTCTCCAAACCTCAAAATGTATTATTCTTAGAAATAATGCAATATCCAAAAAAAAAATCACTGAAAATTAGTTTTTACTTGTATGTAGGGCTGGCACTGCTAAACTGCATCTCAACTTAACCCAAAAACAAGGAAGATAGCCACAATAGAGCAGCCCAAACATAGCACTAGTAAGCTGAGGAAAACGGGGAATTTGCCTTTGCAGAAGCAGTGACATGGCAACAACAAAGGCTGCACAAGTCAATGAAACATCCATTTCCCCGAAGAATCTGTCAAGGTGCAAGAAACTCCAATCAGTTAAGGGTATATTAGGGTCACAGATACTACCAGTGAAAGGAAAAACATGCTATGGGGAGTTGCATAACCAAGAAAAATGCAAAGCAATATGAAATACGATTTTAAAAAATATCTTATACAGAGTACTACGTATTTAGATTTCAGAATATATATATATATATATAATACAAATAAATAATATGAAGAGTTCAAACAAATATCTGAAATAAATTTATAGGGTATGTGTTTATCATTTATTTTCTCACAAAGTATCTTTCCCTCTCATTTTCCTCTCTAAGTTCTTCCATAATTTCTTTCCCTGATAATTTTGGGGGTTCAAAACTGACACTAAAAAGACTTTCAGTAATAATATCCAGAAAACCTATTAGAGTGAACATGGGTTTTTCGAGTTTGGGCCACTGAATGGATAAAGAAGCAATTCAAAATGAAGAGACGACGTCACACAAATATGAAGGACTATGATACTACTATACTAGATACACAATTACTCATGTTGTAATGTAACTCTATCAAAATACGCAAATAACATGCTTAAACACAATGAACACATGCATGCATGACCTTTCTGCTATATATAACACTCCCTCCAAAGAAATACTACCTCCGTCCCCCTAAGTTTGGGACAAAAGAAGGTGGCACGGTTATTAATAAAAGTGGGTTTATGTGGTTGATATTAAATTGATAAAGTAAGAATAAAGTAAGAATGATTTAGAACCACACAAATTTTACCAAGTAAGGTATGGGACAATCTTAGTGGGACGGACCGAAAAGGTAAAATGGGACGATCATAGCGGGACGGAGGGAGTAGTAATCTTGTATGATCAAGATACAACTTTTTAGTTTCAGGAGGTACAAATGTTTTAAATCATGAATCATAATTACACACCAGCAGATCTAGGGGGGGCTGAGCAGGTACCTGCGCCCCTCCTGTGACGACTGTAGGGTATATTTACATATATTTTTAGGGAAGCACCCCTTCATGCTGGTTTTAATGAATAGAAATATCGTGACCCTAATGAGTTTAATCTTGCACATAGTGAGATAGTTGACGCTTCTAATAGCATACACTGGGTCTCGGGTTCAATCCCTGTAGGTGCCATTTTACCCTTTCTTCCGGAACCCATTTAACTTTTCAGGCTAAAAAGAATATAATTTTGTATGTGGCAAAACAGACAGTATCTTTTGGCTAGTTGCTTCATCACCTTCATGGATAAATGGACTGAAGATTTTGAGTGTGTCCTGGTTCAAAACTTAGATATTTGTTTCATTTTTATCAAACGACAAAGTTTGAAATCTTTGACTCTTTTTTTCATTTCTACCAAACTAAAAAATTTATTCAAAACATTCTGCTTCACTTTTCTTGTTTTAACTTCAAATTGTATCTCATATACAAAACTTTAAGAATACTTGCAAAAATTCTTAGGACTTATTTTGAACTTAAACATTGATGTAGTATTACTTTTTCCTTTAATTCACATTAAATATAAAATAAATCTCAAAGCAATACTTCCCCAAGTTTTAATTAACTGTCCAAATAAGATTTTCCGTGTGTCAGACGAAAATAGTAGTAGCAGTAAACAATAGAAGATTTAGAAGACAGATAAAGATAAAGTTGAAAATGTGAAAAAGGTGAAAGAAATAGGCTGTTTGTGTAAAGGGTAACAGTTGCCACATAAAGAAATGAATCAAATCATTATAAACTTTCCAAAAAGCATGTGGATCACATAACAACAAATAAAGGGAGTTTTACACATGACACACAAAAAAATGAGGCGTACACAATATGCATTCTGATAAACCACCTCAACTACGCAATGTGCAATATTGAACCTTGATACGGAGTATACATGTTCAGGTTTAATGGAAACATGACATGCCGATAAAAGAGCAGAAACCACCTCAAAAATGTGTTCTGTTTCCACCACCGTACTTACATTTTGAAAGCATTTTATATTTTAACATAGTTTGTCATAACCATTGATCTAACAAGACTCTTTTGGCACCTAAAAAATATTTGAAAAAAGACTATGAAGTAGGCATAACTAACCAGGTGCAGATCACGTGATACGGAACTGTTTTGTAATGTAAAATTGTTATTTTTGGAAAGGTAGAGATGTTACAAGTTGTTAAATTGGGCCTAACTCACCAGGTGAGGATCCTCAAAAGACAAGAGGTGAGGTTTCCTCATATTTATATTTTTAACCCATATCCAGTGAAGAAACAAATTATGCATTGGTAGTAATGGGCCAAACTGATCTCAAGCAGGCTAAACCTAAGGCCCCAAACCATGGATACCAAACAATCAAACAAATAAACCACAACTGGACCAGGCTGTGAAACCATGTTACTTAAAAACTAGGCTTAGACACATGTCTTGTAAACATCTGAAGTAGGACACTAACAAAAATCATAAATCATGAGCCCGTTTGGTAGCACAAAAATCGGCTGTTTTGGCTGATTCTGCTGAAATTTCTGAAGTTCTGGTTGAAGTGGCTGCATTGGCTGATTATGCTAATTTAAGAAAAAATTACTTTTAAAATATATTTTATTAATAAAATAAAGAAAAAATTATATGTAAAAATAGCTAAAATGGTCATCTACAGTAACTTCAGCCAAAACAGCCAGAAAAGTAACTTCAACCTTACTTTTTCTGCTTATTACAGAATTCAGCGCGCGAAAGTAAAAGTTATGTGTTTGGCGAAAAAGTTGGCTGATAAGCCTGATAAACCGAAAAACAGTGCTGCAAAATGGCCTCCATATCTACTTTTTTAAATGCTCTTAAATTTAAACTAAACTAAGCACATTTAAGCTTGCTTGCTACACTGTTTGGCAAATTTGATACAAAATTATATTCAATTGATCAAACCGAACTTTTTTCTTCGGTCATAAAACAACTTTTTAAACGAGTCCTGTATTACGTGTCCTCACCTGAACTGAACTAGGAAACAGAAATCAAGTTGCAAATTAATGTTCGAAGGAAGTTAAGCATGAAGTCACGAAAATAAATATTGAATACAAAATTATAAATGTGCGGATTAAATCAATTTGAATGTTGATGAGAGATGGTATCATTTCAGGCTATTGTTTAGACATCAGCTTGTGAAATTGTTTATCTCGAATCATGAATAGATTCAAAAATCTCTTACAGTGTAAATGCAGGCATAACGGCACAGATCAAAGGGATGAGCCGTGAAACAAATAGAGGCAGTGGGGCATTTCCAGCAGCAATGTCGTGACTCCTAACCAATTCAAAGTACTCTCTAGCACCCACAAGCACAGCAGCAGAAAGGGCCAGAGTGAATACCCAACCACCAGCCAATACCACGCCTCCAGCACAAACCCCAATGCCTAGGCCAAAGACTACTCTTTTAATCAACTGACTTGATTTTTCCCTTTCTAGGGAACTGGAGGCCGGTTCAGATTGCTACAAAAACACACCTTTCAGTGATTGGAATTTAGTAATCTAAATACAGGCAAACAAGGCAGATGATGAAGTATAAAATATGCTAATAAGTGAATATATATATTCTAATTTATCTCCAAAGAATACTATCACAATGTGTATTCAGAAAAGTGTGTTCTTTGCTTTATTATAAGGGGTATTACTTTATGAAAAAAATTGTTTTTTCCTGGAATTTGTAACATAGAAAGTTAGAAGAAAGAAAGATTCTTCTTTTTCTTAAGGGCATGTTTGGAGGGGAAGTATTTGGAGGAGTTAGTCTATATCTTCATAAATAAAATGTTTCTAAGAGAAAGAAATAGCTGTGATTGAAATATTATACGGTGTACTACGTATGATTGTGTCGGAGTGTGTGTATATCTTACGCTTGTGTCATATAGTTGTGATAGACTTTGTCTATATCATCACAAGTTACGTTAATCTTATGATCATGTCGGAGTGGGTGTATCAAAGTCTAGACTGGTAAATGGTAAGCCTTCCCCTCCAAAACCTTTCATCCAAATAGACTCTGGTATTAAATTCAGGTAAAACCATTCCGCATTAACTAACTAATATAATAACTGTGACATTAGTGTAACTTTCAGATTATATGATAAATGCAAACCAATGGTGTTCTCCAAACAAATACATTTGAAAAATCGATATCAGAAAACAGACATGGGGTCGAATAATGTAGCAATAGAAAAATGTTGCAATAACATACTAAAAGGCCAGTTTGCAGCAAACAGAAGAGAAAGTTCAAACCTAAACATGCTTAAATAAATGCATAGTTTCTGAACATGTACTGAAAACATAACCTTTTCACCTCTTGGTTTTCTGCAGAACCGAAGCGGTCTAGTCCTGCCCGGTTAATCAATCTAATTCGTTGGCGGTTCATAAAAATTCTCTGGGAAGTCCTGCCTCGCATAGCGTATAGAGGGAAACAATGACGCAGCTTCAATCCAAATTTCGGGTAAAGGGGTCGTCTCAAGAGTACGGTCTGGAAATGGGAAGAAAGATGCGTGGAAGAAGATGGACGGCTGTTTTGCGGGGGAGTGCTGGCGGAAGTAAGAGAGAACCGTACAAATTTGCACTTCCCTACATCTACGTAGGATGCCATTGGATTGCAATGGACTTTGTGAACTTCAGAAGATAGAGCAGCCCATGATCGCTAGACAAGAAAGTTCAATCGCCGTTGGGGAAGGAGGGCGTAGGACGGATTGATGGGGTCCTAGCTGAATGAACCAATTACGGGTGGCCGGTTTTCAATTCGGTTTTCATGGTTTCGATTGGGTTCAATCTTTAACAAGTTGGAACAATTATTTGGCGACAATTTCGATACCCGTTTAAAAAATGGGGGTACCGTACCTATCATCAACTTGATTGGTCCAAATCATTATATCATTTTTAATTTAGATTTAAATAATTCAACTGCAACATCCTGATTGGTCCATGTGGACAAAGGTATGGTACCTTAGGAGTACCATAGAAACTACCCAATTATTATAAAATAAAAATCATCACTACTTTTTGGTTTGATTTCGTTCGATTTACTTCGGTAGTACGGGTTTGGATTTTTTTATTTTTAGATAATATACGAATGTGTTTTTTTTTGCTTTATTTAGTTTGGCTCGGGTTTTTTGGTTTTATCGGTTTTGGTTTAGTTTGGTGTAATACAATTTCGAAGAAATATTATCAAACTCAAACTAAATTACATATGTTCGTCAGTTCAATTTAGTCCGTTTGATATGGTTTGGTACGGTTAACCTGTTAGAACTGGAGGATAAAAATAATGAAGTATAAGGGTGTGAAATATGGCAGGACCGGATATCACTTCTAGTCACGTATAAAATACGCTTTGCTAAAAGTTTACTATCTACCCTTATCACAGTAACCGGGTTACAAGATAGAACTTTTGGGATAAAAAGAAGGTGTATGGTGTATTTTAGTTACCGATAAAATAACACCGAACAAGTGATTTGTATATAAAGTGGTCTAAACATCCCAATACTAACACTGCAGATATAGTATTTTAGCAAGGCAAGAGAAGAGTAAAACTGACTTTCGATTCGTACATTAATTAACATGGTCCGAATGTTATTTATAATTATAAGGCAACTCTCTAAGAAGAGACTTTTCTATCAATCGAAATGAACCTTGGTTGAACGGCCATGAATCCTGAACCGAAAGGATGTATCTTTTATAAAATAACCGTAAATGCATTCTTTTAATAAAGAATTCCATTTGATGTAAAGTGTTTTACACAAAACGTATCCTGCCGCAAAGTGGCAACTAACTATTAAAATAAAACATTTAATATTTTGAAATAAGTTAAGAAAGCAAAATGTAATTGAATTATAATATTATAATCATGAGACCACTATCACACGTGTACAAAGTAATGCTCATGATGTATAATAATAACAATAACAATTACATATAAATATCTTAACAACACCATATTAATTTATAAATAGTTTAAGACCATGTAAATTAATATTTGAGCTTTATTTCCAATAAATATCCAACAATCCACCTCCATTTATTGAAAATAAACATACTCTATCATATCCTTGCCAAAATAAACCACTTATCAAGATTTATGCATAATTGAAAGTGTCTTAAAGATTGAACTTTCATTTAATGCAATATTCTTTACAATATTTCGGATCATAATAGTAGACTAAGCTTTGAACTATATAACCACTTTGAAATATTGAAGATATTACACACATAAATCTTAATACAAGTTCACTTAGAAACTAGACACTATTAACGGCCTTGTATCCATATCCATTCATGAGCTCCAACAAGTAAAGCCTTAAACTTGGTGAATCGGCCGCAATTCTAGCTCACATAGGTAGACCTTTTCAAATTGTGTTCTGCAATCAAACACTTTATCAAAAGATCTATTAAGACATAGTCAACCTCATTACACATTGCAGAGTCAAGCACTTACCTTGAGATGGTTATAATTCAAAAGTGCTTCAACCACGAAGTGATTTACTCATCATCATTGAACTCAAGATCTAGCGTTGTACTAGACGTTGAGTTGCGCTTTCTTTCACTTGTGATTATTTTTAAGGGCTTTAACCTCATCCCTTTTGCAGTTTTGTACACCATGTCTCTTGGCATTGCCTTTGTAAAAGGATCCGCCAAATTCACATGTGATCGTAAAAAATCAATCACAACAACTCCAGAACCAATAAGTTCTCGCACATACCTGTGTCTCACTCCTATGTGCCTAGACTTACCATTGTACACATGGTTATAAGCTTTTGACAGAGTTGATGCACTATCACAATGGATTGGTATCGGAGCCATAGGTTTAGGCCATATCGGTACTTCTGACACCAAATCTTTTAGTCATTCCGCTTCTTTACAAGCTGATGCTAAAGCTATAAACTCTGAAGCCATGGTAGAGTCCGTGATACAAGTTTGTTTCTTAGATGCCCATGATATAGCACCTCCTCCAAGAAGAAATAGCCATCCACTTGTGGATGAATAATCATCTTGATTAGTTATCCAACTTGCATCCGTATAACCTTCTAATATAGAGGGTTCACTCTTGTAACATAAGCCGAAGCTCATTGTTTTCTTTAGATATTTCAGCACTCGCTTCAAGGCTTGCCAATGAAATATACTAGGATTACTAGTATATCTACTTAGTTTGCCTACCGCAAATGCAATATCTGGCCGGGTGCTAGTCATTGCGTACATCAAACACCCAATCACCTTAGCATATTCAAGCTGTGATACAACGTTTCCACTATTTGGAACTAATTTCCAACTAGGATCCATGGGAGTGGAAACTGGTGAACAATCCAAACTCCCAAATCTTTTCAACACTTTCTCTATATAGTGAGATTGTGTTAAGGTGATAGTATCACCTTGTTTAATTATCCTAATTCCAAGGATAACTTCTGCTTCACCCATATCTTTCATGGAGAAGTTTGAACAGAGGAAAGCTTTTGTTTCTTTCACTTGCCTCAAATCAGTGCCAAATACGAGCATGTCTTCCACATATAGACAAATAATGACACCGTTACCGTGCTCATTAAATTTGCTATACACGCACTTGTCTGATCGGTTTATTTTAAAACCATTTTCCAGCACCACCTCATCAAACCTTTGATGCCATTGTTTAGGTGCTTGTTTCAGACCATACAAGGACTTGACAAGTTTACAAACTTTTTTTTCTTGTCCTTTAACAACAAACCCTTCGGGTTTTTTCATATACACCTCCTCCTCCAATTCACCATTCAAGAATGCTGTTTTGACATCCATTTGGTGAATGACAAGATTGTGAATAGCCGATAAAACAATTAACAATCTTATGGTAGTTATTCTAGCTACCGGTGCATATGTGTCAAAGTAATCAGTACCATGTTTTTGTTCAAAGCCTTGTGCAACCAATCTAGCTTTAAACTTGTCAATGGTACCGTCTACTTTCATTTTCTTCTTGAAAATCCATTTACAACCGATTGGTGTACAACCGGGTGGTAAATCACTTAGAACCCAAGTATTATTGCCCATAATTGAATCCATTTCGTCATTCACGGCCTCTTTCCAGAAGGAAGCATCTTGAGATTTCATTGCCTCTTCAAAGAGTTAGGATCCTCCTCAACACTATAACAATATAGTGTTTGAGTTTCAAGGGTCTCTCTTGATCACTCAACCAAATATAATTGAAAATCAGGACCAAATGACTTTTCTGTTCTAGCCCTCTTACTCCGTCTTATTTCAGGCTTATTTTCATGATCCTTTTCCAGTTCATGTAAGTGTGAATTACTTGGACCGGGATTAACATCCTTTGGCCTAGGAATAGAAGTGAACCGCTTCTCATCAAAAAGAGCATCCCTAGACTCAATAACAGTGTGAACCGCAATTGAGTCATTCGGTTCAATAACATAGAATCGATAAGATTTACTATGTTCAGCATATCCAATAAATATGCACTCTACCCCCTTTTCACCTAATGTTTTTCGTTTAGGTTCCGGTAATCTCACGATTGCCCTACAACCCCATACTCTAAGATAACTTAGTTGGGGTATTCTTTTGTGCCAAAGTTCATATGGGGTAATCATATTTTTCTTGTTAGGCACTCTACTAAGAATATAACAAGCAGTTAACATAGCATCACCCCAAAATCCATTACTTAAGCCAGAATTAGACAACATGGAATTAACCATTTCTTTCAAAGTTCTATTCTTTCTTTCAGCAATGCCGTTTTGTTGTGGCGTGTAAGGGGCTATTGTTTCATGGATTATTCCAATGGCTATCCTTTTAGGCTCCAAGTGAAAAGGCTTAGAACTGAGAATTTAAGCATGTTGGATTTTCTTTCAACATTTTGAAAAGAATTTCTAGTGATTTTATTTAACATGCAAGTTCTACATTTTTCTACGTTAATATTAAAAGGAGGAATTAATCCTACTTTAGACATGTCTCTTAGTCTACGGTAATTAACATGACATAACTTATTGTGCCACAAAGAAGAATCACAAACCATATAAACAAAATTAACAACTTTATTAACAACACTTAGTTTGAAGTTTTTTGAACATGCCATTACAAAAGAAACCTTGGCCTACAAATACACCACCCTTAGATAAAATAAACTTGTTTGCTTCAAAGCTAAGTTTAAACCCAAAGTTATTTAGGATTCCACCGGAGACAAGATTTTTCCGGATTTGTGGTACAAAGTACACATCATTAAGAATTAATTTCTTTTCGGAAGTTAATTCCAACTCTACTTGCCCAATTCCTTGAATTTGCACAGTAGAGTCATTTCCCATGTATAAGATCGGCCCTTCTTGCAACTCTTTTAAAGTCTTAAAAGCTTGCATATCTTTACATACATGCCTTGTTGCTCCGGTGTCGATCCACCAGGATTCATCATCCTGCACAACACAAATTTCAGAAAGCATAGCTACAAAAATCATGTTGTTATCAACATCATTTGTAACTACAAAAATATTCCGACTTTGGTTGTCTTGGCCACCGTTAGGATGGCCGTTCGGTTGGGCCTTCTTCTTCTTCTTCTTCACCTTCGGGCAGTCCCTCTTGAAGTGTGGACCACCACATTCCCAACAAGAGCCTACTTTCTTATTTTTCGGCTTCTTTTGAAACTTGGAACCTTTGGTGAATTTCCCGGGACCTTTTTTATTTTTCTTACTCCCTCTTGATTGTCCCTCCTCCATAACATTTATAGAGGAAATCGGAAGGTCGTTCTTTTTACCATTGTCACCTTCACGCAACTTAATGCCTTCTTCAATTTGAAGTCGGCGACCAAGTTGCTCCATTGACAAATCCTCCTTTTTGCGTTGAAGGGTATTTTTCACCTCCTTCCATGATGGTGGTAATTTGTCGATTATAGAACCGACCACAAAGGTTTTATTTACATGCATGTTGTGTATCAAAAGTTGATCATATAAACGTTGAATTTCATGAAATTGTTCCATGACCGGACGGGAATCAACCATTTTGTAACTATTAAAGTTACTAATGAGAAATTTCTTACTCGAAGCATCCTCGGTCATGTACTTGGATTCTAGAGATTCCCACAACGTTTTTGCATACTCAACATTTTGATACACGTTAATCAGAGAATCACACATACCGTTCAAAATGTGCCCACGACAGATATAGTCATCATTGTCTCACTTTATGTGGCGGCGGCTTGTTTCCAAAGTCTCATTATCATCATCCTCGGGCGGCCTCGGGGTGTTTAACACATAGACGACCTTCAAAGTAGTGAGCAGAAAATGCATCTTTTTCTGCCACCTTCGGAACTCCACACCTTCAAACTTTTCCAATTTTTGAAAATTGGTGTTGATATCACGTTGAGTAGCAGTCATAATTTCGGACTAGTAAACTTTTAAATTGTTAGAACTGGAGGATAAAAATAATGAAGTATAAGGGTGTGAAATATGGCAAGACCGGATATCACTTCTAGTCACGTATAAAATACGCTTTCCTAAAAGTTTACTATCTACCCTTATCACAGTAACCGGGTTACAAGATAGAACTTTTGGGATAAAAAGAAGGTGTATGGTGTATTTTAGTTACCGATCGAACAAGTGATTTGTATATAAAGTGGTCTAAACATTCCAATACTAACACTGCAGACATTAGTATTTTAGTAAGGCAAGAGGAGTAAAACTGACTTTCGATTCGTATATTAATTAACATGGTCCGAATGTTATTTATAATTATAAGGCAACTCTCTAAGAAGAGACTTTTCTATCAACCGAAATGAACCTTGGTTGAACGGCCATGAATCCTGAACCGAAAGGATGTCTCTTCTATAAAATAACCGTAAATGCATTCTTTTAATAAAGAATTCCATTTGATGTAAAGTGTTTTACACAAAACATGTCTTGCTGCAAATTGGCAACTAACTATTAAAATAAGGGAAAATGGAAACTAATAATTCAATCTTTTAGCGATCTTCTTATAATAGTCCCACCTTTTCGTTATTCATAAATAATCCAACCTTTGCATCTCATCTTCACTCACTGGTCTCTGACCGGTTGATGACCAGCTATTCCAAGTTATTTTCTTATCTTTACAAACCATTATATCATAAATCTCACATTTCACAAAGATAATATTTTGCAAAGGTAAGAAAATAACTTGGAATAGCAGGTCATTAACCGGTCAGGGACCATCGAATGAAGATGGGGTGCAAAGGTTGGATTATTCATGAATAACGAAAAGATGGGACTATTGTAAGAAGACTGCTAAAAGGTTGGATTATTAGTTTCCATTTTCCCTTAAAATAAAACATTTAATATTTTGAAATAAGTTAAGAAAGTAAAATGTAATTGAATAATAATATTATAATCATGAGACCACTATCACACGTGTACAAAGTAATGCTCATGATGTATAATAATAACAATAACAATTACATATAAATATCTTAACAACACCATATTAATTTATAAATAGTTTAAGACCATGTAAATTAATATTTGAGCTTTATTTCCAATAAATATCCCTGCCGCAAAGTGGCAACTAACTATTAAAATAAAACATTTAATATTTTGAAATAAGTTAAGAAAGCAAAATGTAATTGAATAATAATATTATAATCATGAGACCACTATCACACGTGTACAAAGTAATGCTTATGATGTATAATAATAACAATAACAATTACATATAAATATCTTAACAACACCATATTAATTTATAAATAGTTTAAGACCATGTAAATTAATATTTGAGCTTTATTTCCAATAAATATCCAACATAACCCAAACTGGTTTGCCCACCCCAAAAACCAATGATATGAGCAATTCGACTACAAGAGTCCAATTTTTAAGATGAACATCTCTAATGCAATAATGCTGATTGTTGATTCAATTAATTGTTTCTTGAAAACTCTTAAATATATAGTTCATATTCAGGGATGTGTACAATTTTTGTTATTAGTATTGGAGCTATAGATGATAAAGGATTCCGATAGTGTCTGAATTGTCTTTTTTTTGTTCTTACTTGACTATTATTTGACGTTCTACCTTATTCTTTATGCATTGATCACTCCATACCTTTCACCTATATAAATAATTCTCATAATTATTTTATCATGCTTTGATGTTAAGTTTTGAGTGAGAGGTGGCCCTTGTAATGATATGAGCGGAAAGTCATGGTTGCATGTTAGTTACTCCCACCTTATCTCTTTACTTAAGGAAATGACCAATGTGCACATTTATCTTGTTTGTGCATTTTGTCCTTTGAGATTTACTATTATTTGTATACCTCCATTGCTTCTAGACTAGATTCAATTGGTTGGTACGTGCCTTGATCCCTTCAATTTATTGTCGAGTTTTGGTTTGCTTGAGGAAAAGTCAAGACTAGTGTGGGGGAGTTGATCGATAAGTGTGAAAATACATGATACTTTCTTATAGATTTTGATCTTTGTTTGTCAACTCTCAATAATCCCCCTTTGCTTTCATTTTTGTTTGTATGAATCATGGTGCGTATTTGAGCATTCTTTGGGTGTAAATGAGTCTCGGGAGCATAAATAAATTATTCCAAGATCACGGAGGTGAAGCGGATCACAATGAAGCAAGACTCGAAAGCATTTCAAAGGACAAATTGCACAAACTAGATAAATGTGCACATTGATAAGGCGGGAGTAACACTAACATGCAACCATGACTTTTCTGCTCACATAATTACCCAAAGAAACTTCAACTGGAACACTACTCCTTCTAATGTTCTTCTCATCCTACCTACACTTTGTTCCGTTTCAATGTATCCTAGGTAGAGGAATATCCAGGGGAACAACGTTCCTTCTTGCATTTCTCTCCGGAACCATGTCCCCATCAACGTTCCTCCAATAGTTCAATTTCCTTCTATAAATCAACTTTCCTCCAAGTATTCCTTTCGGCATTTCTCCCTTCGAGACATAGTTCCTCCCGACATTATCCCCACATGTTCCACTTATATAAATACAATTTCTCTCTCTGAATTAAATAGTTTTGGATGAAATTTCTTCTTGCAAACTCCTTTAACTCTTTTGTGTTGCATTTCTAAATATTATCTGCATGAAATCATTGTTCTTATATACAGTGGCGTAGCTAGGGGTGGGCCAGACCTGGCCTTGGCCCAGCCCAAATTTTAAAAATGTCTTTATTTTTAGTGTAAAAAATTGCGTGTAAATTTTTTTTTTCCAAAAATATTCTTTGTACCTGCCCTGTCTGGCCCAGGGTCCTGGCTCGGCCCCTTTATATCATTGCATCTTTTTCATATATTGTCCTTGTATCCTTCGTATCTTAATTCATGACAATTCTTTGCATTTCAGATGAGATTCTATAATGAGTTGAGTATTAATTAGGATTAGGATTGGAGGTAATTATTCAAGGATCATCCGACAATGTGACTAATAGGTTTTGAAGTTTTATCTTGGGAGACATGAGAACATTCTTATGCACATCATGTGCTTGTGAAATGCTTACTTGAATTTCTGTTAGTGGTTATGCTTACTTATTTGCTTACTAGCACATCATTTCCCTTTTTCTTTTTAGCCTCTTCTTTGTGTTTCTTTTTCTAAAACTTCTAGATTATAAGTAGAAAATTGAAATGTTTATGAATTATTATATGATTACTTCAGAGAATAGAAATAAATAAATACATAAAATCTTATTTATATAACTAACAACTTTGGGGTAAAGTGATATACTTCCTTTTTTAGTTGCAACATTCTCATTTTCAACTGGTCGCCAGCTTACTCTCTCACTCCATATCTCGGGCTCAAAATTTCATGGGCAGAGTTTCAACCCTATTTACCTCAGGTTCCCCCAGCTCCTCTTCCTGACCCCTGAGGTAAAAAGAAAGCTTCATATGGTTGGAAACAATCTCGTGACTTAGGATTGTTTTACTTGGACTGTAATTTGCTGGTCTGGTCTGGTCTGATCTGATCTGGTCTGAACTGGTCTAGTCTGGTCTGGTCTGGTAAGGTCTGGTTTCTTTGTATTTTTATAACTATCCAAGTCTGGTCTGGTCTGGTCTGAATTGGTCTGGTCCGGTCTGGGACAAATTACAGTCCAAGTAAAAACATCCTTAGGCTTTGTTTGCAAGTGTTTGTATTTAAATAAAAGCACTTTTTGGGAAAAAGTGATTAGTAGTAAAAGTTGATAGTGTTTGGTAAAATAAGTGCTTTTTGTGTAATAGAAAAAGGAAAAAGTAGATTCTACATGAAAGCCGAGAAAGTAAAAGTTGATAGTGTTTGATAAAATAAGTAATTTTTTCTTTAAAGAAAAGCCTTAGAGTCTGCATACCAGAAGAACAGAAGTAGAAAAAAAAGACGATGTAAGAACGGTTGAAAATTCTGAAATGGGTGGAGGCGTGGAGCCCTGGGATGCTTTAAACTGGAGGGGAAGGGGGGGGGGGGGGGGGGGACCTAATCAAGTATTAAGATGAAAATCTATCACCTTACCAAACAAACATGCTTAAAGTCTATACATTTCTGGACAAGAATCAGGAATGACACCATGAACCTAAAGCACGGATCTTTAAAACAAGCCACTTTATTCCGTGTATTCCTCATATACAGAAACAGAATGCATGCTATATCTGATCTTTATCTCCACATACATCAGCAAAAAACAAACACACGCCCAACAATCAAAACTACTTTTCACCGGCAAGACTTCTCGGCTGTTGTTGACCAGCACCTGTCAAACCAGCATACCAAGCAACAGCCATGAGCTGAACACCAAGGATCAATACCCACCAGCACACAAGACCCCTAATCGTATGCATCATCCATGATGGCACATCCAACTCCATGCCGAGCTTCAAGCCCCTCATCAGTTGCAACAAACGGTAAGCTTCATACACAACCGGGGTCACCAGCCACACTGGGGACCGCCAATGCCACGTCAGCAACTCTGTGAGTATCTGTATTGAGAGAAGCAGAAGATAGGGACCCAAAAGGACTGCAAATGAAATCAACTCCAAGTGAGGCCGGACAAACCCCTTTTGAGAACAAAACATAACTGCCACGGGTATCATGAACCCGACTGCATTTGCAACCACGTTCCACATCCGGTAAGTGAAAGGAGGGGCATTTCTGTTATTTTGACTCGGGTTTTGTCTTCGGGCACATGAATCGGCGAGTAGGAGGAAGAGGCTAGCTCCAAGGTTGTAAATGCAGTCAAGACCAGTCAAAGAAAGAAGGCTGGCTACATTGGGCCCAAGGAAAACTGATGAAATTGGTAGCCATAAAGTGGGTACCATTCCTGTAGATAAAAGTAGCACAGGCCCAATTACCCATATTGGCCACTGAAAGTATTGGAACTTCACAACTGGTTCACTGCTTGAGTATGTACTTTTAGTATTGGTTATTGAGGTTTCTTCTACTTCTTCAGTTTTGTTGGAAATAGTAGTATCAAATAAACTGGTGGTCCCTTTCAGGACTTCAGTTTCAGCATCATCTTTGACAGCATAAGGTGCAGGTTCCCATGAAGAAGGGTTGGAACAGAAGACAGACACCAGTTTAAGGGGCGTTCTGGGAAAAGTCCCTCCATGGAGAATATTTTTATATTTCACCAAATTCTTGTGTTGGTGACGTACATGGGGAAGAGTAACTGCCAATCTTGCGTTTGGGGAGCATGTTAAAGATGCCATACTGTGATTCACAGGTAATGTATTTATGATGTCGAAGTTGGGATATGGCCACAATTATATGGAAGATGTAACCAGTGAGGGGAAATCAATAACATTAATGTTATTTGTGCTCATAAATGGTGTTAGAAAACTGAAAGATGCAATATACTCGTTATAAAAAGAGAAATGTTTCTAATACAAAACACTTTTTAGGGGTAAGAGGAGTAACTGAGAGCATAAATCTACAATTAACAACATCAGTAGAAAAAGATACATCATTTAATCCTTTGGTTCTAAAGTGGGGAGAGATGAATATAAATAAAAATGTGTGTGGTTCGGTGAGAGAGCGAGGAAAAATCAGTTCTTTTTCGCAAAAAACAAAGTATATAAAACTATTGTATTTGATATGCTTTTGGTTTCACATAAAAAAAAAACAATGACAGTCTATATGTAATGTACCAGCAATAATATAGAGTAGAACAATTTACATAAAAATAATGAAAATAAATTTAATGATAACTCTCCTTAAATCCCTCAAATAGGAGGACTAACAAACAACTGAGGAGTTTGGAGGATTAATAACTCCTTGACCCCCCCCCCCCCCCCCCCCCCCCCCCCCCGAAAGTAACACTTTAGAGTCGTCTACCAAACATAGGCTTAGTTTCAAGAGCATTTTAGGGTATTAACTATTAAGTGAACACTCTGAATGGTCATTAACACGTTCCATAATTTCCAATGGAGCCAAATACACACTATTTTTTTGGCTTAAGAATATGATGGAATAAAACAAAATGGCTCACTAAATTGTCTGCACTTCCTGGTTATGGAGCAGCAGTCAGTCCATGTAATTTTCGCCGCGATTTCTATCGTGGGTCATCCGGAAACAATCTTTCTGTGCTTTAGTACATGGGTAAGGCAGCGTATATCTGACCCCCTTACTCCACCGTTGGTGGGAAGCCTTTGTGGCACTAGGTAATGTTGTTGTTGTTGTGGGTGGTCATTAACCTTTTAATGCTCTTCGCTTACCAGGAATTATAATTCATAATATTCATTTAAACATAAGTCGACCATTCTATAAATTCATTCACATTTTTAAACAAGGCGATAGGTATATACTGTATACGTACTATCTTACCATCTATTCATGGACAAGATATGTTGATTCATATTTCATAAAACATTACTCCACCATTGCAAAATATTATTCTAATCCTTTGAAGTGGATCGCCAGAGGTTGTTCAATTTGTTCGCAAGTGCAATGCACATTAAAACAAGAAAAAAAATCTGCTGAATCTAGAGAGAGATAAACACCAGATCATTGATAATCAGGGTGCATGCCAATTTTTTACCGCAAAACAATGGCTTTATCACTTAAGCTTTATTACTTCAATTAAAGATTAAAGATTCTAGACACTCCTACCCAGAATAGTGGATAAACTGGATACGTTATCTTTATCTCCAAAATAATCATGTATAATTACGAACCCCAACTAATTTTAAAACAGAGTGCAATCTAACCATTGTCCCTTACGTTCCACTTCTCATCAACAGACTAAACAAAATATGGGGCAAAAGAAAACCCAAATAGAAAGCCAAAAGAGAACAGACAGCTCATAAAACAACAATAACTCTTCTTCCGATTCTTTTACTTCGGTGTTGAATTTCTGAAATAGTAAAACAATAAACAGAAACAGGTTTCACATAACAATTTGAAATTTTCAATCAATTTATTTAAGAGGAATTGCCCATAATTTCAGGCTTGCATTATGTAATAAGGCTGGTTTAGGTCGGAAATCGCAATTACCTCAATAATGAGCAGTTTATGACATTTGAGAGAAGCAGGACAACAGAGAGCGTAGCTGGTAGCAAACCCTTCAAGCCTTTCAACCCGAAAGTATGAATGGGGACACTCCGGCTCCTCCGCTCCCAGTTGGCTAGTTGGCTGATTTGGCCTTTGCTCACAGCCTCACACTCACTTTTTTATGGAGGCATATTTTATTCTATGAGTAATTAATGTTCAATGGCCTCTACTTGAATGTTTTTAATTGGATTCTTTTCAGTCCTAGATCACATCAGACCTAAACAAATTATATCAGACCAGATCGGACGTAAACAGACCAGACTTGACTTCCGTAGTTATAAAATACATAAAAAACAGACGTTTACCAAATTAGACCAGACCTGTTCAGACCACATCAGACTTAAACAGAACAAAGCAGATCAGAACAGACCTAAACAAACCAAACCAGACCAGCAAATTACAGTTTAAGTAAAAACATCCTTAAACATGATGTTAACTACTTGTATTTATAGAATAAAAATATGATAGTCCTGTTGGGACAATGTTCTTATAGTCATACATTGACCTGAACAAAAAGATATGGAGTGCAATTCAATCGAAACATAAAAGGAGAAAGGATACAAATATTACCTATAGATTTGTGAAATAAAAAATTGATTAGCTTCCTATATTTTTATAAAAATATGACTAATTTTTCGTTTAATTAATCTACTTTTTCATTGTACTTTATTATACCCAATCTCTACATTTGTCCCCATATCATTTTAGTCACTATCGGGAATCGCCACTGGAAAAGGCATAGTAAAATTTTGATGTCTTTTTCAAGTTTTTATAAAATTTGTCGGCAAAAATCATTGGAAATTTTCTCGACAATCACATTGACATGTTTTATATCAACAATGACATATGTTATAATTAGTGATACGAAAACCTGACTGTGACATCCGTTAATAACATGAAAATCTAGCATTGACATCGTGTTTTTTTTTCAAATATGCATCCTTGTTAAACATTTTTATCCATATGTAAAAGCAGCAAATTTTTTAAGCAAGACCCCAAAATAAAAATGACAAGTATCTATAAATTTAAACTAAATGCTACTCGGGTACAATACACATTAAAATTACGGGTATTGTACCTATAATATATTTCATCATTTATTTATATTCAAATTACCCAAGTGGCAATTGCTATATTTTAATTGATCCACATGTACAAGGTATGGTACCTTGAGGTGTTGTAGAATTTGCCTAAATTAAATTAACTTTAACTCACACCTCTCATCTTTGGGCGCCCCTCATCTTTGAGGCAGTTAACCTTCAAAGAGCATATGTACTGTGGGTTCAAACACACACATGTGAAAACCTTAGGGGAGAGTGTCTTGTTTCATAATGGAAGTTTTTGTAACTGAATACATATTCAAGTGAAAACCAAGCTCCTTATTGGTTTTCATAACTAGCGTCCATGGGCGATATGGGTGGCTAAAAAATGTGATCCAAAAGAAGACATAAGAGGATGCATCAAAACAACATAAAGGCTGTGTTTGCAATCTGTGTTGATAAGTGTTTTTGGCTTTTTTTTTAAGAAAAAAATACTTATTTTACTAAATACTACTAGCTTTTACTATCTCGATTATCGTGTAGAATCTACTTTTAACTTTTTCTATTACACAAAAAGCACTTATTTTACCAAACACTACCCACTTTTACTACTAATCACTTTTTCCCAAAAAGTTCTTTTATTTAAGCACAAGTGGTTGCAAACAAAGCCAAAGAGTATCGTGTTAGTTTGCGCGCAACAACATTTATTTCAAATTCTCAGTTCGCGTGCAACAACATTTATTTCAACTTCTTCACTAAACATCATCAAGATGTCCTTGTTATAAAGACAAACAGATATAAACATTCTGCACAGGTTGGACATTTATAATCATAAAATAAAAGAGAGAAAACACAAGGATATTACCACTATTCAAACAAGCATTTATATAATATCAAAGGATCGAAGCTGCAGAATTTTAAATAACATTCTGCATGTTGAAACATCTCCACGCACAGAGGCAACTTATTAGTATCTGGCTGAATGGTCTTCGATCATTTGGGGAATGACAAACTACAGGGGAATGACTCAAACACATAAAAAGTCCACGTCTTGTTCGATTAGTTTTCGCTAATGAAGCAACAACTATTTCACACACCTCCTGAAATGATGTTCACAAAGGGATGTCGACGAACACAACAGATAAACTATGAAAAATATGTTCAACAATCACTATTCATCTACCTTAAACATGACACCTATGTTTGAAGAAGAGTGAGAAAACGAAAGGGAAGCCATGATTGAGAATTGAGATAGAATGAGAATGACAAACTTCAAATGACTTACAAGAGTACGATACGCAATAGGTCAAACCGTGGAACAACAGGAGTAGGAATGGTAAGTTATCACATATAGAATGATCCAAGTATGAGTGATGAATATATAAATAAATAAGTAAAAGGCCGGATGGAATGCATACACCATATATGCCATCACATCGGGTGAAATTATGAGTATTACATTCAGAAACATAAAAGCTTATAGTCATACAAGGTATTTTTCTCATACAATATAGCTGATTTTCTTCGTGTAATTGTGTCATGAACAAGTTCTGACTCTAGCACCCTCAACAATAAAACTAAGAAACGAGTAAAAAGGTTAAAAGGATAGTCATTAGTGTTAACAGCTTAACATGGTCAAGCTGAGTATCATATAAAGTACAATCGTCAAGGAATAGCAATAAGGGGAGGAAGTTGCAATGACTGAATGAGATCAAAGTCTGTTAAAGTAAGAGGCGGGAGGGAAAAGTGACTATAAGTCGAGCTTCCTTTTCTGATTTCTTGCATATTGAGAAGAGCAGCAACATTGTTTCTGAATATACTTTCTCCTCTAAGTGGAACCTTCTCTTGTCCCAACCCCATTTTAATGGTTTCTTCCGAATCCGGGAATATGGTGTTTATAGTGCTCTCACACTCCTTCACCAATTTAGAAACAAGATCAGTGGTGAAGAAGGGTTGTTGAAGAACTTTTTTAATGAAAGGAGGGCGAAGTTGTCCGCCAGTTCTCTTGTCATACTTCTTCAGAATCTTGGCCAAGCCTGTGTAGTTAAGATTGCTGTAGTTTATCAGAAGAATCATTTCCCCATGAAAATCGATAATGTCTTTCCTGATGTTCATCATTTCTTCTATGTGATATGGCCCCTGGTTATTAACAACTATTTGTATCCTGTGATGCAATTCCTGCATGTACAACTTCAGTGTTTTAGCCACAATAAATGATACTACGTACGTAGTACTAATTAGTCTATAATACATCTAGTGTACTATGCCCATTCTGGCCATTCATAAAAGAATGACCTTTATTTCATTCTCATTCGTCCTGCTAACCTGCTTTGTATTTTAGACATACATATCAATATCTATTTCTACATATACCCTTCTATATGTTTTGGTTAACTATGTAACACTTAAGTCATTAATCACTATATCTTTAATATATAATCCAAATTATGTTGACTGGTGAGCCTCTAGTTCAGTCAAACCATGAAGTATGAGTAGGTGGTAGGCGTGTCAACGGGTCGGATGAGAACCGTTTGAGTTCTATGTCGTTTCAAACCCGACCCATATACCTGGCAGGTCTAGATAATAATTAAAATAAGTAAGGTTATAAGGATGTTTTCTTTTGGACTGAAATTTGATGGTCTGGTCTGCTCTGATCTGAATTGGTCTGGTAAACGTCTGGTCTCTGTGTATTTTATAACTGCGGAAGTCAAGTCTGGTCTGGGACTGAAAACGGTCCAAAAGAAAACATCCTAAGTAGGGAAATTGCCCTAAATAGGACTAAAAACATTTGTGTATTCCAAGATAGGAATATTATGTTTTGGCAATATCAGATTTTAAAGTAAGCAATATCTTCATTTACTCTTATTTATATGGAATATTTAAGGAATAAAAATATGAGTTTTTTTTTTTTAAAATTTCAAACGTTTTTACTCTTATTTCAGAAATTTTCCCTAACAAGTACTAGTAAGATTTTTTCACATAATCTTTTCTATATTCTCTAATAAAATATATGGAGTATTTTAAACATAATTTTTTCAAAATTCAATAAATTTAATCTGTTCAAGTATTACCAGTAAAAATTGTAACACCATTAATCAATTTGAGATACAGCTAATAAGATTGTAAAACGAAAATAAGCAAGGAACAAATAATACTAGTAGTAGAAAGATCCTTTAAAAAGAGAGGAGCAGAACGAACGAACGAAAGAACCCTGTGGCGGATAATGAAATCCTCTTCTTGCTCCATGAAAAAGGCATTAAACTTCTCAATCTCACTGTTCAGCCGAGAGATAAACGTCGACTCCGCCGGAGACCCGTCGAGCGCAGCCGGCTGAGCCGCCGATATCGCCCTGACCAGCTTCTTCAAGGCCTTGTAGGACAAGAACTGGCGGCGCCACCCTGGCAGTGTCTCCTCGATCTGCTGCTGTAACCGTTTCCCAAACTTCATCGATATACAAATTCTGTGCAATTTTATTCAGGCGGAAATGATGAAGTATGTGAATTTGACGAAAAGCATATATGGGCTGCGGATTTTATGGAGTAAAGAAAAGATCGGGGGTAAGAATATTTTGAGAGGATATGCTCGGCCACACCGCGTGATGAAAAAACAAGTAATACAGGTAAAGGATTCTGCAGCATATTCGGTTAGTGGAGTATATAACCATGTACTCCGTATTGACATATACTTGACCGAGTTTGCTTCTCATATCACATCTTTTCTTTCCAATTTCTTTCCAATTTGATTCCAAAATGTAACCCATTATTTTAAGGACGTTTTTATTTGGACTGTAATTTGTCTCAGACCAGACCAGTTCAGACCAGACCAGACTAGTTCAGATCAGACCAGTTCAGACCAGACCAGACCAGACCAGACCAGGCTTGGATAGTTATAAAAATACAAAGAAACCAAACCTTACCAGACCAGACCAGACCAGACCAGACCAGCAAATTACAGTCCAAGTAAAAACATCCTAAGTAAGATTGGAGTCATTTTTTTATCTTTCAGATTGAATCAATTTAATTGTTTCAGTCAACAGTTCATCACTTTCAGCTGATTCAATCGATTCAGTTAATTCTAGTGTTATCGAATGAGTCCTAATTTGAAACTTTTTAAATATTTTTCTATAGAATTAAATAAATCTTACTTTGAGAAGAAAAAAGAGGTTTTACAAGAATATTACTAAAATAAAACTTATTTACATAAACATGACTATTCATTATTATAACGTAGTGTTGTGATAACTTAAGTTCAAAACTTAAACATGAATTACTATGATTTCATTACTACTCTAGTAACTAGTCGTATTTTTGTTTTTTTTAGCTTGCAATAAAAAGATAATCATATGATCACAAACACGAACTCAAATCCACCAAATGCCATGATTTGAAATCCAAATATTCAAAAACAAAAAAAACCAACAATGTCTTGGCAGAGTTCAACAAAACCGGCAAAACACAAGGTGAAAATGAGACATTGATTTAACGAAATCAATGCAACTGCCTTTCTTCCCGCTCAGACTCTAGCAGAGTAAGTACGTCACCCTCTCTAACAGGTCCCTTGACATTCATCATGATAAACCTGTTCATGTCATCAAGAAACTTGACCCGAACCTGAGTCATTTGCCCTCTGGAACCAGTACGACCCATAACCTTGATGACAACAGCATGCTTGACTTGGTTTTCCATCTTCAACGAGCGACCGACGGCAAGAGGTTATCTACTGCGGCGGAGGAGTGAGGGGTAGACCTTACTTCGGCGGCAGAGACTAGTCGTATTTTTGTAAATCATCTTTATTTTGGTCATATTTATGTAATTATTTCAAGAAAATATATGTGATCTTATTGCAGTTCTTTATTCATGTTATACTCCCATTTTAAACAAGGGAAAATTGTACATTTGCTCCCTCAATTAGCCACCATATTGAAATGTCAGACTCATGTTTTTGATATTATAAATGTCATCCCCGAATTGGCAAATGTGTTGTAAATATCATCCTCGTCATTTCTAATCTATCTCCAATTCTAGACTATCCATAAATTTACCGGGATGACATCTACAACACATCTGTCATATCAGGAGTGACATTTACAATGTCAAAAACACGGGTCTGACACTTCAATATGGTGACTGATTGAAAGATCAAAAATGTGATTTTTCCTTTAAACAATTTCTTTTAGTAAAATTTGTAGGTTGGAAAATTAAAAAAAAAGTGAAACAAGAATTTCAAGAAGCTTTGCTTATTACTCATAATTTAGAGTGATCTAACGGGAGCCTTGTGATGAACACAAATGTTGTTAGTAAACATATTTTGTACACGTTTTGTGTACATCTCCTAGTTGTCAGTCTATAGATGCAGTCAGTTCAACAACGGTCTTATAGACAGACAACAAGAGAGTATATACAAAAAGTGTACAAAATGTGTTTAGAAATATGGGGGTGTAACCAAGCATTCCAGTCCAGCTGGTTGTGAGGTTACGATGCCTAGTGGGAGGTCTCGAGTTCGAAACCCGCTAGGCACATAGGGGTTTCAAACTCAATGGGGGGTGTTTGGAAATTGGTGTTTCAGCAAAAAAATGAGGGGTGATTACTCCAGGCCCCCCAGACCCCCTAGAGTAAAAAAAAGGCTATTAAAAAAATATAGGGGGTGTTTGGAAATTGGTGTTTCAGCAAAAAAATGGTGGTTTGAGCCCTCTTAGGCTCTTAGCTTTTCCAATAAATGAAAACTTTATTTGGTAAATAGTTGTTCGGCCTAACATTTTTTGGATGGATCCACTGAAATGGAAATGCTGCAAACAGTGGCGGATCTAGCACTTGCAATTTGGGTGTTCAAAGTTACTTTAAAATTTTCCTTCAAAAAAAAAAAGTTACTTTAAAATTTAGAATTAAGAATTGCTATTGGCTCCTTTTAGAATTGATATTAATTAGTAATACTTACATAAATGAAGTAAATTTTTCTCAATAAATCCTTGAAATCAACAGAAACTATTTATGCAAAAATCATACTCGGATTCAACAGATAAATTAAGCAAAAAATTAAGCAAATGTTGAGTAAAACACCCATATATTGAGCAAAAACTTTAAGCAAAATTATATTGTCGACATCAAGAGTTCGGACATTCAATTTGTATAAAATGTTTTCAATCCACTAAACCTGACATCATATATTCCAATACTTTCAAGGCAACTAGGCAAGTAGTGACTAGTGGGAAATGGGAATTAGAAAATGAATTTATAAATTTCATACGGAGTACTAGATTTACAAAAACTAGGTCTAACCACTAACGTGGAGTGGAGGCGTCAGGCATGATCGCGAGAAGAGGATGCCATGGTGGAACTGTTTACCTTCAACCCGTGGATTAAGGAGACTAGAGTACCGTTGGTGGACTGATGATGACGGAAACCATTGCAACTCGCGAGATGGAGAAAATCCAAGGCTGGGAATCTGGAGCTCGTGACTAGGGAGATGGAACTCTCGACAAACGATAGAGCACCGTCGGGCGTCGGGCGGCGGCAACAGGAATGCTGAAGCAGAGCAAAGATGTGCGGTGGCCACTAGAGTCTGAAGGAGACAACACCCTGCCGGCGTCTACGACAGTTCGAAATTTTTAGAAAAAAACTAAAATGACGTACTTATGGTAAAGAAAACTGATTTTTTGGGTGTTCATGTGCATAGTCTTGAACAGCACTGGATCCGCCCCTGGCTGCAAATAGCAAAGTTTTAGGTTAGTGTTTTGAAAATTTGTGTTTTCTACTAATTTTTATGGTCAAACAGCTAGAGTGCCAAACATTTTCTGGCAATTCGATAACTTATTCCGCTAATCAAACTTGCTAACTAATACGTAGTATAACTCTTTATCCACTATGTCAAACATGCCTGTAGTGCGAAATCTCACGCCACAATGAGTTATTTCCTAAATATGGAGCATGTTACATAGAAACGGATGCAATCTATGTGATTTCACGTCTACATTTTATAATCATATATTTCATCATATTTTAAGAGAAGATGATCAAATTAGACATTGTAATTACACGTCAAATTGATATTGATCATTACAATTCCATCATGTGTATCAAATTGAATACTATGATTACATGTGATCTCATATTGGTTGTCAAAGTTTTATAGTTCGTCATTTCTGGACACTCAATAGAAATCGTCTAGTCTTATTTTTATTTTCTTTGATTAATGTCTATAAATTAGCTTAATGATGTATTTAGTTTTAAAATATACAGAGTATAATTCGATTTTATATAAGAGCATCACACATTCAAGATTTCAAGAAGATGAAAATATGTTTTGAACTCTACATTTCAGAGACGGAGTCAATGCACTGGGTAGAACTGGATCGGTACAAAAAATATTTTTGAAAAAAAACACAATTTTTTTCCCTTAAAAATTAACACATTTTTAAAATTTGGGATGAGTTGGAAGCTAAGTTACACAAATAAATGATGAAACGACAAGTTACTATTTTTCTTTCTTAGTTACGGGAATGGACGTTTATTGTTACTACTACCTCCGTTCTCTTTTAAATACAACGTTGGACTTTTTGTACTATTCACATTTTTTACTTTGACTACGTTTTATTTATTAATGTAATACTGTAATATATATTTTTGGAAAAAATATTGTTTAATTTTTCTCATTATAAATTTTCAAAATCTATTTTTTAAACTTTTTTTACTAATCGGGAATTATATATATTAATGGTCAAAGTTGTGCCTCGGCAAATGTGAAATGTTGACTGTTGCATTTATTTAAGAACGGAGGAAGTATAACGTTATTTTTAAGATGGAAATATTATTCATATTTTATTCAAACTTAAAAAAATTTAGTATGTAATAGTAGTTGGATGTTGATTTTTCTAAATGTTATGTATTATTCCAAATTCTGAAAGATCTATTACTTTTTTATTATCTAATTTGTGTACTTTAAACATTAAAAACTTATATTTCTGTTTGGTATTGCAATGTTAAATTATGTATACTTTAATGTTTTAGTGGGCTCCAATTCATCAATTAGTGGGCTCCAATAAATCTAACTAGAACTACACTAACAAATGATCAAATGGTGTACAATCACATTTATTTCTAATGTTTGCTTGATTTGCCACAATAAAAATTCAATAAACATTATACCCGAAACTATTTTACATTTAAAGTAAAACGCATATGGATTATAAAAGAGAGAATTCCCTAAATAGGAGTAAAAATGTTTTGAAATTTCAAAATAGGAGTATCATGTTTTTTATTCCCTTAATAGGAGTAAATTTCTGCCAAGTTTGGCATTACAAGGCTTTTAATCATGACATTTTTTCCAAACTTGGGAGATTACTCCTATTCAGGGAATAAAAAACATGATACTCATGTTTCAGAATTTCAAAATGTTTTTACTCCTATTTAGGGCAATTTCTGAGTATAAAACAATTAGAAATAATGACTAGAAGACTAAGGGTTGGTTTGCAACTGCTTTTAAAAAAGCACTTCTCAGCTTCTGGCTTTTAAAAAGCACTTATTTTCCCAAACACTACAACTTTTATTTTTCTCGGCTTCCGCGTCAAAAGTGCTTTTACTTTTTCTATTACACAAAAAGCACTTATTTTACCAAACACTACCCACTTTTACTTTTCAAAATCACTTTTTTCTCAAACACTATCAA